TCAGATTAAAACTTTATTTTCTGGTTTGATTTTGGGTTCGTCTCCAGTTCAAACTGCAGAACTAATTCTCTGAAATGTTTTTCATGCCAGACGTGAAATCAGGAGAAGCTGGATGCAAATTAATTAAAGAAGTTTTGTGAAGTGCATGCGGCGTCCCAGACCAAACAAAAATCAACTTGTGGGTTTAATTGCTGCAGCCGGAGCGACTTCCCGGCCGGCCCGGTTCTGTGCTGCGAATCACAAACCGAACTTAATGGTGTCTGTCGGACTCTTGTAATGGAGTCGATGCAGTGGGGGGACGCAAAGCGCTTCCGGTAAAAACCAGGATGATTGCCTTTGTTCCTCAAGAGTTCTCATCAGGGGCGCGCAGAAAAAAGCCGTTCGCTGAAGAAAAACGGCTAATGAGGGATTAAATGTTAGCAAAACAGCATCAGCAGATCTGGTTTCTGCCGGAAATATTCACAGAGGAGCGGCTTTTAAACATGGCTGACTGAAGACGAAGGCATTTACATGGAGAGCAGAACTTGTTCTCTGAGTTGGAAAGCGTTTTGTGTTGCGTTCCCGGTGGACAGAAGAAGAAGAAAACGAGGAGGAAGATGATTGACGCGACTCCCTGCTGATGTCTGGGTTGGGCTCGTCATTAAAACCCCATTACATTCCTGTTAATGTACATTTAATGATGCCGGATCGTCCTTCACATGCAGCTCACTGAAAACAAAAACAGATTGATGCGCCAGCCGTACGGAGGCCTCTACCTGCCAAAATCAGCACAAAATATTTACTGGCATTTATATTAAATATAAATATTTCAAATCAGTTTAGCTTCAGAAAAGATGTCAAAGACAGATTAATATAAATTTTAAAAATAGTTTTCTACAGTGTCTGACAGCTATTAGGAAACACAATATAGAAGATTATTACATAAATAAATAGAATAAAAAACAGAGCTAACTTGAAAATAAAGGAAACAATAGAATGGAAATGAAAAGAAAAGCAGACATAAAGAGATCTGGGTGTCAAAAAAAGAACTTTGGCTAACGGATGCAAACATGCAGAAAACAGGCGGATGATTAAAACACAAAACAAATCCAACAGAAAGACGCTGCAAACGATTAAAACAAGTGCAAATGAAAAATGCCCCAACCACTAAAAACATATGAAAACCAACTTGAAATCTGAAATGCTGCAAACTAGCGACACAAAATGGAAGTCCTCCAGACCACAAGGGGGAGTCTGGAGTAGGTAATATTCTCTATGAAAATAGCCTAATGTTCAGTAAATATTACTTGCATTTCACCTTCTCTTGTTTGGATTTAATTGCTTTTTCAGCTAATATTTGTTATTGTAAATCTATTAAGAATAGAAACAGATGTTTTGTAATTAACATAAGGATGTAAATAAGGCGAAGAGCTTCAGTCTAAACTAATGAATATATATATTTAGGACTATTTTGAATTTCATTGATTACAGTTGGAATGTAGATTAAAATATTATTGTTACTATTATTGTTGTTATTATTGTTATTGTGTGTCTGTGTGTTTTAGTTGGAATAATCTAAACTAATAACACTGTAAAACACTAAATGTTTGAAACAGATGAAGTATAACCAACCTTTTGTTCTTTTCTTCCTCCATCTTGCTTCTAGATATCATGACGTCCCATTTTTACCAAGACTCTGGTCCCAGACCAATGTTTTCATATCACTGATTTGTTGGTCGACTCCCCCTGGTGGCCTGGAGGACTGCCGTTTTGGGGCGTAAGTTTAAATCATTTTGTACTGTAAATACAAAACGTTTTACTGCATTTTTCCTCCTTTCTCCTATTTCCTGTTGCAACATTTCGTTTAAATTTGTTTTATTGTTTTTATGTTTTTCTTCTATTTTCTGCTATTGTAGCACGTTTTGCTAGCAGTGTTTTTTCTGTCACATTAGTTTTGTTTTTGTATTTGCATCATTCATGTGTTTGCTGCATGTTTACACCTGTAGTGTGTACCTGTTCTCACACCCAGACATCTTTGTCTATCTTTAATTTTTATAGCAATAATTCCTTTATTTTACATTTAGAATCATTGCTATATTCTGTTATTTTATTTGTTTTTATGTTAGCCAACAGTCAGATGGAAGCAGAAGACATTTTGCTTTACAGTAGCTCCATTTATTGGACTTTCATTTTCAGTCCAGTTCATTTTAAATATGATTTAAATAAAATGATTACCAGCAGGTTTTATCTGACGTTAAGCTTCCTGTCTGGGAGTGTGTGGAAAGCTGCTCTCTAGGATGTCTGCTGCTCCTCAACTCTTTTCCGGTTTTGTAATTTCGGAAGAAAATTAGCTCCATGATGAGTTTGACCTCCCGCTGCTGATATCTCAACCTGTGAAGGTTTGGGGAGTGGCAGCGATAATCTGAAAATGGACAAAACCGTCTGAGAGAAAATCTGTTTTCCCCGCGGCGGGAGGAAAACAGGAAGCAGACGGAGGGAGAACCTGCTGGTGTTCATCCACAGATGACTGGAACGGCTTAAACCAAAACATACTGGTGTGTTGGAATGGCCTAGTCAAATCCAGACCTAAAACCAACCAAGAAATTGAGGCAAGAGTTGAAAGTTTCAGTTTGTAGATGTTCGAGGCTGCAAGTAAAATGTGTTCTGACTCAAGAAGGCTGAATAAAAATGCACGCCACACTTTTCAGATTCCTGTTTGTGCAAATGGCTGAGATGAAACATTTTCATCCCACTTTCACATCATGCATTATGTGCTGAAAGCCTGCAGCACAGCGGCTTTCACTGAGGTTAAAGGTGAAATGTTTTGCAGGTTGGTTCATGTCTGAGAGGGAAAAAACTCAGAGATCAATAATCAAAATTTCTCAAAAATCTGATGAGAAGTTGAGCTTAAAATTACAGAAAAGCTCAATTTTTGCCATGTTATTGGAGTTTATGTCGGTTAACTTATTCTATCCCGTCTAATTAAAAACACTTTAAATCAAAAGTGGATTTTTCTCATTTTCCAGTTAGAAATTTGTTGACACTTTAATAAAATCTGGATTTAATTTAAAGGCTTTTCTCCAGGGTTATGCAAATAAACGTAGAGGGCGTTGTGATTTAATAAAATGAATGCACCTGCTCTGAGCCGCTGTGTGGACAACGAGCTGCTGCACATAAAGATGTAATTTAATAAGTGAGTCAACATGTTGCAGAGTTTATTATGATGCTTCCAAATTACAGAAAAAATATTTACAGAATAAAGAAGCAAAAAAAGTCCGAATATTTTATTTTTAAGAGAACATGTCTGACCCTAAAACAAGATTTATGAAAAAACAGAAAATGATAATCTGTTGAAACGTCAGGATGTTCAGAGGAGCCGATCACATTTGTGTTGAATTCCTCCATAAACTGTTTCCGGGTCCGGTTTCAGGTCCTGCAGTGGATCTGAACCACGTTTCACTGTGAGCGGCGGCCCGCAGCACCATGAGCCGTTACCTCATGGTGCAGAAAGATCTGCTTAGTAAATCCTGAAGTCCTGAGGTCCGTCTAATGATGGAGGAGAGGCAGGATAAAACCAGAAACGGTTTAAACGTTTCATGAAATCTATAAAAGTCATGATACTGAGTGGCACCAGAACCTCATGCTGGTTCTGCTGGGTTCAAGTGGAGCAGATTATGGATCTGTTCATGACCGGCAGACAGAAATGATTCAACAGCTTAAGCCATCACATTCTCTGTTGTTTTGCTATTTTATGCTTATTCTGTGATGTTTATAACAGTTTTAAACTATGCAGTAAAGGGGAGGTATGGAAGGAAATTAGGACCACTAAAAAAATAAAAATAAAAATAAAAAAAGAATTCCAACTTTTATTGTAGAATTCTGAGATTAAAGTCAGAATTTTGGAAATAAGCCAGAAATCGGAGATTAAATTCAGAGTTTTTGTTGTATGGAAAGCCATGTGTGCCACAAATTGCCACTTTTATGAAGTGTCTGGTTAGAAAGTCATGCAAAAAAATGGCGCTTTGTGGCTTAAGACACCGTAAAATACAAAGAAAATCCTGTAAAAAAGCAGCTTTTCATGCCGAGGTAGGAGTACCTTCTGAACGATGAAAATGAAGGCGTTTATTCTGGTCATTGAACGTTGCTTTAAACATCGTCGCATATAAAAAGCAATGTTCAGTCACTGAAATGCTGAAATTTTTGCGATTTCTTCCGTCATAAAAAACAGCATTTTGATGTGTTTTTGGCGATTTTGGTGTTTTTTGCGTTACTTTCTAAACCAGTGGTCCCCAAAGTGGGTTCTGGAGGCCCGGCATCCTGCATGTTCTAGTTCTCTCCCTGGTGGCCGTAACAACCTTTTTAGCATGTCAGTGTTCCTCTTAGGGCTCTAATGAGCCATCATTTGATCCAGGTGCGTTAAACCAGGGAGAGACTAAAACTTGCAGGATGCCGGGCCTCCAGGACCCGCTTTGGGGACCCCTGTTCTAAACAGACACGTAGTAAAAAGTGCCCATTTGTGGCACACCTAGCTTTCCATATATTCTCAACATAACTGTTTATCCCTGCACCAACCTACACAATAATATCATTTTTACACACAATCATCGTTGTAAGCAATATTTTGCACCAAACTTTTAATCATCTCTTACAGTTTTTGTGCGAATCGGACTTTTCTCGGTCATAAATCCTTGCTCCAGCATGGCGTATCCTTTCCTGCAGCTCGGTTCTGCAGAGTTTCTTTGGCTGTGTGGGTTTGTTGTGAAGTTCAGGTGAAGTTCAGGTAGACAGCTGAGGACAGGATGAACCTTGAGGGCCGACAGAAGCAGCTGGGGGAAAATGACTCGGCAGCAAAGTGCGCCGACTCTCCACAAAATCTGACTGCATAATCAGGGAACAGCAGGTTGGGACAAAGTCAGCCCAGTCCAAGTTCCTCTGGGTCAGCGAGGGAGTTCTGGAAAGTTTCCTGACAGACGGACACGGAGCGTGACTCAGTGGTAACCGTGGTAACCCTGCCAGCTGCTGAGACGGGCAGGCTTTAAAAACGAAGAACAAAATCTGCTTCAGAGGGAAAATTTCTCCAAGACATTTGGACGTATGGATGCTTGATCAGTTTTTAACAACACAGAGGGCAAAATAAAGAGCCACAAAGAAAATGCTTTTCATATTTTTAAGTAAAATATAATAAAAATGCAATTTCTTCTGAAGAATGAATTAATGATTTCTCAAAACTGGATATTTTGCTAAAATACCAAAAGTTTTCTTCAGTTAATTGAAGAAAAAACTGCAATAATTATCTCTGTACAGAGTAATGAGACTTTGGGTTGACCTTTGACCCTGTTTAATTCTCGAACATCATGTCAAATCTCCGCGTTAATCCAACTCCAGTCCGTTTGTTTGGAAAGTCCAGTTCGTTTGGGGAGGTCACGAACTCCGCTCAAAAGCAAAACGTCTCCGTTTGTCCTTTTTTATACAAGTTCAGTTTTTTCAAAAGTTCATACATTTACAGTTTTATGTAGTTGAACTGAGGGCTCAGCTTTGGTTGCTAGGTAACGGGTTGAGCTAAGGTGGGGTTGCTAGGCAACGGCGGAATGTGACTCAACAATCGGAAAAATTTTGAACTTCCTGAAATTTCCAAACATTAAAAGAACTGAAATTATTCCCAGAAAACACTTTGTGTTTTTTGTTCTTTTTTTAAGAGGCATTTGAGGCACAAATGGAAGAGCAAAAGCATATATCATATATAATTTTAAAGGGTTTTTTCGCCATTTCTCCAGGTGTTTCTAACCTGTACTCAACCTCTGTTAAACTTTTATTTCTTCATTAAGTCTTAATCACTGGCAATAGTCTCGTCTTCTGTCAGGCGACTTTATTCTGGCTCTGTTTCATTTTAAATTGTGAAATTTGTCCAAATGAAAACCTTCCAACTCTGAATGAATCTGTCGGTTTTCCTGTCGGCCTGAAATCAGGCGTTTCTGCTGCTTCCCTGATATGTTTCAGTCGTTCCCCCGGTTAACCCCGTTTCCTCAGACCGTCTGAGGTTTTCATCTCTCCTCCTCTTCCTCTCCATCTGATTGCCGGCTCCAGTCTGAGGTGCAGCGCTGCCAGAGGAGCAGATTAATGGAGCAGCTTCCTCCTTGGCAGCAATAAAACACACCCATCGCGCCCCCGGCTCTCCTCTGACGCCGTATCCAAATGGATCTGTCGCACTTCTGGAGATTAGATTAAATTTGGTGGTAATGTGAAGCCATTTTGTGAAGAGAGATAAACTACCATCTGCTCTTCTATACACTTTTTCACTCACATCCTGAGCCGTTCTCAACATCCATATGATTGTTGTCTGGATGTGTCTCAGATTATTAGAACCGGTTCTTGTTTTTCAGCTTCGGTTCGCCAGCGTCCATCTGGGTTTGATCCTCCTTCAGGGCCGAGCGTCGGGCAGCGCCGGCTGCCAGCAGATCGCCGGTGGGCGGCGTGGAAAACGCCTCACGCTGTTTGTTTGCCTCAGATGGATTCGCCTGTTTTTGGCAAAAAAAAAAACGCATGCAGAGAAGAACAGTCAACAGGTTCGTCCTCCTCCCAAACATAAAAATTTGTAAGAAAAATGTTTTAGATTAATCTCTGTAATTTTCTAGAAGAAACTGGGAATTTTCTGAGCTCAAAAAGTAAAAAAATTGCAGGAAAAATCTTGAATATTTTGAGATTAATTTCCCATATTTTCTAGAAAAAAACACTTTCTGTGCTTTTAAAGTAAAAAAATTTTGACTTTGGAATTTTTTT